CCCTATACTCCTTACTTCTTTTTCTTTCTCTCCTGAACACAACGTGGACAAAACCTACGGAAAGAATACAGCAGTAATTAATTCCAGAGTTAAAAACAACCCTTAGCCCAAAAGCTCTTTTTCTTATTTGGGAATGGGGTGGGGGCATGGAATAAGAGTGGCCAAATAACTCATTGCAACAGTTTTAACAATGTGCAAGAAGACTAGGCAAATAGGAACTGGACTGTGGCGATCAGCAACTCAGATGCTTGCGCTCAAATTGAAGTCTGTGGCATTTTAAGTGCAAGGCACATTTACACAGCACTTGTGCCCTTAAAAAATATAAAAGAAAGTACAGAGCAAGCCTGTGATTTTTCCAAGATGAAGGGGGAGGGAGGGGAAAAGCTGGATCTTTTCCATTCTAACCACAGCTGCAACTATGTGGCAATACAGCAGCAAGTACATATCTGTGCTCATCATCAGCTCAAAAACTGCTCTGTTAAACATGAAAACTTAGGTATGCCTCGGGTTTCCTTTTCCTCCTGTTGGAAGGTCCTACTTACCATTTCCCCTTTGGTTTGGTTGTGAGGTCCACACAAGCAAAGTGGAACCATTCAATTGGGCACTGTGAAACAGAAGGGAAACAAAAGAAAAACAGAAGAGATGGCTTAGCATTCTGCAAAATTTACACTTGTTTTGGATAATTTCACTGAGCAAGCATCTCCCTCTGATCTCACAGCTCTGAGGCTGCAATCTTTTCAAAAGAGGCAGTGTGTGCTTTGAAAAATCAATTGCCTCAAGCACTTACATCTGGGTTGTCACAGCCAATCATTTCTCCATATGACACCTGGTGACACAAGCAGTAGGTAGGTTCATTGGGATCCACTGGCATGTCCAAGACATCCGAGGGATGCACCGACAGGATGGTTTCAGAAAACTCAGATCTGTAGGCAAGGACAGGTTGAGGATAAAGCACCTTTCAGTTACAGACAAGAGTTTCCACGATTTAAATCCCATTTAGAAAATTATTGAAACAGTATCCTCACTAGAACTGAACTCATTTTAGAACTGAGGTTACTTATCACATATTATCCAGACCTACTGGGATTGCAATTAAAACAAAACATAAAATCTGATCTTTACTGGTAAAGGATGAACAGAAGGATTCGTAGATAATATTAAACAGTAACAAAGTTAACATGCTCATCCTTCCTGTTTGTGGACAGACAAATCTGATTTATTTTCAAATCTGTTTTAACTTTTTTTTTTTT